TTTTGGAAGGCGACCCGTAGGTGTTTGTCCTTCCTCAACCGCTCGAGGTCGATACGGATCCGGCTGCTTCCGCTGTTCCCCCGCACTCATCGGTTGGGTGCGACACGGGGGTGGAGGCGGACGGTCGTAAGCACGGGGTTGTGATCAGAGTCCTTGAAGTCGACACGTTTGACGGAGACATTACGCATGAAAGGCCGGTCCGTCTGACGCATGAGGATAAAGTCGAGGCGGTGCTCCTTCCCCTTGTTGGAGCTCTGGAATGTGTGCTGCTCTCCACCTTTCGGTGTCCGGAAGTAGGTGTTGGTCAGGGAGAGTTTGTTGTCCGATGCCAGTCCAAGGAGTCGTTTCCCGAATTGTTGTTGATAATGTCGCGTCCGTACGCGCCCATAATCTTGGCATCGCAGCACCCGTCTCGCCTCCTACCAGTGCGTGCGTTGGCGTCCATCTAGCACCACGAGATAGTCAAGGCTGTGAACCTCCCGGATCGCTGCGTCGGAGCAGTCCAGAATGAGTCCTTGGCGTTAACATCACCGCCCGCGGTGGTGCGGACAGTTTCCGTGGGGGCGTACCCCACCACGAAAGTTACTCCGGAGGTGCGGCCAATTTGTAGACGCACCTTCATCAGCCTCGGGCTCATGCACTCCGCCGTCCTACCTTCCTCGCCCACACTCTCCCACATGACCTCTTGATCGCTACGCGTGTACGCCCCTCTTGTCCTTGGTGCCAGCACGGGCGCCACTCCAGGTGATCACGTACCCGTCGTGTGCAATTGAACCTTGCCCCTCTCGTTGGGTCGTCTGAAGTCCTATCACATCACAGCCGGTCGCGGAACAAATCTGCATGACCGTCATCACGTTGTGACCGATGGGGTTCCTACTGCTGTAGGCGAGCGTGCGTACGTTGAACGTGCCGAACCATAGGTCGCCCTCTCGTGCCTGCTTCTTCGCAGCCGCCTTGACGGCCGCTGCGGTCTCGTGTCTCTCTCGGTCCACCTCGCGTTGCTGGGGTGCTTTCTTCCGTATTTTCCGAGCGGCGAATTTCCTCGCATCAATCCATCACTGCAGAGCTCGGTTCTTGCCTGTGGTGTTTTGACGAGGAGGGTGCAGCACTCCCTCCCCGCGGTGGCCGCGTTTGTCTCCCTTCTCCCGCGAGCGGTGCTTACTGGCGTGGTCTTTACGAACCTCTTTACTCCTCCAGCTTCGTGGGCCACGCTTTCCGCGTCGGTGGTTGCCAGGTGCAGTTTGCCGCTTCGCATTACTGCCGCGGGAACAGTGTTCACACACACCTCTTGCCACTACCACCGTCTGTGCATCCTCACCGCCACGCTGAGCCAGCGCGGCGGTGAGCTGCACCTTGGGACACCACCCGCCTACTATCTGTTGTGGCCTGGTTCGCCCGCGAGGGACTCACTAGGCCGATTTCGGCCCCGGCCGGGGAGCAGGCCGAGGGGGAAGGAGTGTTGTGTAAGTGCCTCGAGGGTGCTTGAGGGGCGTGTTAAGCTCGACGTTCACGATAGGTGCCGGTGGAAGCTGAAGCCCGCCTTGTGGTAGGTGTGAAGCTGCGGCTAGATTGATTGGGTGCAAATCATTTGCCGACAGTCAATCTTCGCGAACTTGTCGGTATAACTTCCATTAGGCTTTTGGGGCGTTAAAAAGATGCGCAGGCAGAGATGGGAGGGGAAAAAGTGTGTGCTGTGTGGGAAACCTATTGGTGTTCATTCCCACTGAGAGGCGAGTAAGTGCACATGCTACTGCTGCTGGTACTGCTCGTTTCCCGCAAGCACGCCTAGTAAAATAATCCCGAAACGACAACCTCTCTCAATGCCACCCCAACCTTATGCAAACTGCTGCCGCAAGTTAGAAGAACTAGGTCCTACGAGCACCTGTTGTTATCGTTGCCTTCGTACAACCCTTGAAGCCATGCGCGACGCACGCCAGCAGTACCAGGGTAACGCACTTGGGTAACGTAGGCATCCTTGAAAGGCCAGATTCTGGTGTGAATTGGTAGTTGGTCTGTCGCAGACACCACCCTTTGGTCCGTTGACTAGGTAAAAACAAAGAACGTGTTCAGGGTCAAACGGCAGAGACAGAGTTTCGGAAGATCAGGCTCCAGTTTCGCACAGAGTGGGCATATGTAGCATATTTGTCTGTTTATTTGTAGGAATGCTGATCTCTCCGAAACTTTTTTGTTGTGGGACTGTTGCCAAGTCCGGGCTGGAGCACAAGCAACGGATATTTGAAGCTGGCAAGCAAGAGGGTGACCTCTCCCACACGACCCAGTGTAGACAACAAATAGGAGACAGGAGGGTGCAAAAGGAGCACTACAGCAGTACACAGTAAATCCAGTCGCACGTGAGCTCGATAGCTTGTTGCCATCAAGAAGTTGTTTTCACCTGGCGCCGTTGGGGTGCTGAGCTCGGGAGAAGCCGCCTGGCGTGTGTTGTGTTGTGTTGGCGTGTTGGCAACAGGTCAGCAGGCAGCACGGGGACAGCAGCTCTGTGTCCCCGTTTATAGCGCTGGATGGTTCTAGGTGGGAACCAAACCTTTTGACGAACGGAACCTTCGAACCTCGAACCTCCCGAACCCTCGACCCTCGACAGCTCGACTGGACAGGGCCCCGGCCAGGACGCCTCGAATAACATAAGCCCTGGTGCCCTGGCCGTTCAGGCACGGAAAGGTATGCTCAGGCAAGCGAAAAATTCGTGTCAGGCAACATAAAGCATGTGCCTGACGACCTACGATTCCATACCTGATAATTTTCTTATTAGGCTAGTCTATATCGTCTGGACGTCTGGTATTTCAACATGTAAATATTTCTCATAGCTTAGCGACGGGCTTATCGTCGTGGTGCTTCTTCATGTTCTGCCTGAAGCTCCCTGGAACTGTGCAGGGGCAGTCAGGCAGTAAAACAAGGTCTCAGGCAAACATGTCATACAAACGCCCTCAACAGGCACCAAATCAGGAATATTCCTGATGAGGGATGAGGGGGTTGGATAAGAACGGGCGCATACGCAAAATCTGACGCATGCATGCCTGATCGGCCCAGAGGGCTTACGCCTCGACCCTCGGCTGCTCGTGTCAACTGGTCGTGCCTCAACTGCTCGACTGGCTCGAAGAGAAGGTTCTCCCGTTCTTCCACTCTGCCGTTCTCTTCCATCAACGCGACATATTGTACTTTGGTCAAGCATATACAGAGTGCCGGCCCGCTCGTGCAACATGTTCGCAAGTTAACCGAGGCTCAGATTTTGGAAATGCCCCACCACAAAAAATCGAGCTAGCGGCCGGGCGCTACATTCATTCCTACACAGAAGGATTTGCTCAGTGGTGGGGACAAATAGGTGTTTCTTATGAACAGGCCGGCACTGCACAGTACAGCACATGCAGTTGCCACACGTATTCCTCCGCGGTTTACTGTGTGCATAATCGGCTCACAATTTGCCCAGCCAATGTCGTAGCACCCTGGCGCATTTTGAACCCGGATCTCCCTGCTGCTGGTCCCCTTTTCTCGACACATTATCTTGGGGTCGCTCATCTTGGGTTGCTCCATGCTTGCTACAGCCTAAACATCAAACTTAGGCAAAAATGATTACCAAGGAATGTAAAGCAGGATGTCGGAGACAGACAGGCCACATCGACCCCCCCCCGCCCTCTCTCTCTCTCTCTGTTCCGTTAAATGTATGCACACGCCTCCTCATATATTTGTCGCGCCTTCCGGGTAGCGCACGTAGGGGTTTCATTGTGATAAATCAACGCGACGAAGCTGATTTGTTTTTTGCGGAGTTATTAGCAGTTGGCTGAGTGTATTGCGTTGTTGGTAGATAACGAACCGACGGCGGTTGGAAACAAGGAAAGGAACAACAGCTGCTCGGGGAACGAGACCGTACAAAACAAAGGGTCCGGAGAGAACTTCGCCGGTCAACGTTCGTTGTTGTGGTCAAAGTGTATATGCTTGCTCAGTCAGTATGTCACACTACTACATTACCTTCTAGCCGTGGCCACAGGGCCAAGTATCCCATGGAAGAAGTATATCGACGAAAGAAGAAACCCAGAAAGGTACAAAAAATATCGAACAACGAAGGACATATATTGACTGTTATTGCTAATGATGATATCGTTTGGTATTTCTTGATTTTTTTTATAGCAGCCTGGCGCACCGAATGAATCCCTCTGAATCCCTAGATGAGATGACCTTTTCAAAACACATTCGAGACGATAACCAAAAATGAGCGATAGAGACCGGACGAGGGCCATCCGGTGAAAGGGGGAGAAATAGCACGCATGGTCGTATGTGTCGCACATACCTGGCGTACGCAGCATGATGGCGCATCGGCGTTAGCATGCGCTTTCGCCGCACCATGACGTATTGGCTCTAGGTCGAGTCGGTAACTTACTCGACCCGCACACGTTTTCAATACAAAACCGCCGCTGACATGAACAAGATGATGCCGTTGGTTGCTGCCATGCCGACCCTGAGATTCGAGTTTTTCCGACTTTGTTCGAAAAGCCAGAAAGCGCGATCGAGACAGAAAGATGAAGGCGAACCGGTCAAGAGGACCGACACACTGGGACAGCGCGCACGGTGACACACTTCGCAACACGTTTTCATTTCAAAACCGCCTCTGAAATGAACAAGATGATGCCGTTGGTTGCTGCCACGCCGACCATGAGATTCGAGTTTTTCCGACTTCGTTTGAGAACCCAAAAAGTGCGATCAAGACAGGAAGATGAAGGCAAACCGGTCAAGAGGACCGACACACTGGGACAGCGTGCACGGTGACACACTTCGCAACACGCAATTTGTTTGCTCGTCAACTCACCGTGGGCGCTGTCGTCGGATCATGGCTTATTGGCACTATGTCGCGTACACTTTCATCTACTAAGCCACTACCTGCGCTGAACATCTTTCCGTTGGTTGCTCACAAGCGGACGTACGTGTGATTCGATTTTTGCATTTTTGCCGACGTTGTAAAATTGTTCAATAAGGCAAAGAGAAAATGCAGCACATGCATGTAACTTTTCATTCCTACTCTTACCTGGACACTTGTCTGTGGGGGAGATGGATTTGTTGAGTTTCAGAAAGAAAAATGTTGAGTAGAGGAAGTAGATGGGGAGACGGCCAACCAGAGAAACGCATGGATGGTCGCACATGGTCGCACGCTTGTGGTGCATGTCACTGCGCGCGAAGGGCGATGAAAGCCGGCGAGGACCTATGACGCGCGATACTCTACAAAGAAAGGCATTCTCCACATACGCCGGTAGGTTTAGATCAATCTGTTGTTTGGTGGCAAGCGGACCCTGAGATTCGATTTTTCCCAAATCTGTTCTCTTCAAGACCAATAGAGCGACGGAAATAGGCACGCGGCGAAACGGTGAAGACCAGAGGACAACGGCGCGCATGGTCGCACATGGCCGTCCACATGTGGCGTTCACTATCGTAACTTGGCGAGAGGCCATGAGTTACGATGCCCTACCCAGGCGTGGTCGGGATGTCGCGAAACGTGCGTCATAGGTCGAGATCGAATTCTGAGACACAGTCGGGCAAGGGTAGGGGAATCGAAATAAGAGGGTCTGCGACCAAAAATAATTTTGGTCTGAGAGACTGGAGCTTACAGCTTCAGGATAGAGTGGGCCGCACGCCAAGAGCTTGTCGTGTATTTGTCGCGCTTTTCGGGTAGCGCAGGTAGGTGTTTCAAAGAGTGTACCGCATGCCATAACAGCAATATCTGGTTTCCGAGTGGCAGGCATGATGACAATGGTGAATTGTGTGAATGTTGAGGGTATATCATTCTGTGTGATGAAGACCCAGACAGTTGGAGAACAACAAAAGGATAACTTAATGGGCAGAGGCGTTGTGAAACGTGTGCTGCGTAGACCATCTACTGGTCAATGTTGTTGAATCTTTCTTCCGGAATCGTACACCTCTTTCATCGGAAAGATGAGACCGTGAAAAAATGGGGCACTCAAGAGAAGCGTACAGAATATTGGGTCGAGGCTCAGCATATTCTAGGTTGGAGCTCCATCCTAAATCGTCAATCTTCTTATTAGTAGTTTGGTCTTTTCGCATGTTTCATATTTTGATATTTCTCGCGAAGTACGACATACCAAGCATTCAAGCGGCATCAGCCCGAAACGTTGGTCTACTTGTGGCGAACCCTCACATGGGGGCTGTCGCCCTCCTGGACTTCCTCAATCCCTCCTTGTCATTCGCCTCTAGCAGCAAATACGCCCAGAGTGCAGCGGGTTCATCCGTGTTATGTATTCGACTCAAAGGATCCGTACCAAAAAAGCCCGTAGAGAGAAGAAGTGCAGTGTCGCAGGATTATTTCGGAGAATACGAGTTGTGACGTTATGGCGTGTATTTTCTACGGATTTTCGAACTCCTCTACGTTCGACATGTGCGATTTTCTTGCAACGTCACGTTGCACAAATTGTTTACCCTCGAGCGGCATCGATATCGAGTACGGAGGTGCAATGGGCGGATGCTCACAACAGCGCTAACGCTAAGACGGGACACTAAGGCAGGAGGCTCACCGCAAGCAAATAGCAAATAACAAAGTACAATCGGTTGCTGTTTCTGCTTCAAGTACTGCAGGAAATCTGCGATACGCTGCTACTCCTTTCCACCGCTTCCCTCGACCCGATATCGCTTGTGCACGCTAGTTAAGGCTTAGGCAGATAGTACGATTCCCAAGCGACGCTACTTTCTTCAGTCATTTTCTAAGCAGTTCGATTCGCTATTCATGTCCAACCATTCTCGCTACTATTATCACGTGCACACCATCCCGCTTCCGTTTAACGCAGGTTTGATCACGGAGAAATTGCGTCAACGATCTGCATATCTGAATCAACGGATAACATCCATGCCGAGACACAGGAAGCTAGTCGAAACTTCCAAAAAAATGCACGCGGGGGGCCCTCGAACATGGTCCAAACCGCTCCAAACCCAAGCCTCGCGCATTGGCAGCATGCCCACACGCCATCAAGAACATGATCATAGGCTGGTGTTACGGATTACTACGCATAGTCCGGTGGCGACCGAGGGAGCAACCCAGATATTCCTTTAGCTGCATGTCGAGGTACATACAGACCAATCATTGCACCTTTCGACAAATCAAGCTGTCCTTGGACCCCCTTCTGCATCATTAGCCGAAGTCCCCAAGAGACCCACGAGAGACTATCGCGTGGAAACGGTTCTCGGCAGCAACTCTTGAAATGTTTGTTTTCATCTACGCGTATGGGCGCATCTCCTTTACAACGGACTACATCAACGTGCGATCACTGCAGGAAACACACACGCCTGAGCTCCAGAAAGCAGCTTAGGGGAAAGAAGCAACGAACACCGCTCGGCCAGTAGTACAGGGCCAAATCTGTCACGGTGAATTCCAAATGCCGAACAATGTCGTGTTTGAGCACCAGGCAAGAACCACCCGACATCTGTCCATCGGTGGGTATTGTGACAGAGTTACCAACAAATACTTGAATTGGGGAACTAGTTGCGCATGCGCCCAATAGCCATATATTGTGTTTCAGTAGTTTTACATACGGCATGGCTTCGTCGTATGGCAACAAGAGAAGTCGAAACATCAAGCTTAGCAAGTGTACAGTGACACATACTCGGCCCCGACGTTAATCCTTGCTCAACCAGTATGTAAGTTGCCGGGCAGGCACCCGCACGTCCTCAGCGCATCAGTCCTTCGAGGGGGATTCGTTCCCGAAAAGACAAGACATACAACAACAGGCAGTGAATCTCTTGAAATAACAGTGCCTCTTCGAAGGAGGATATCCTGGTCGGAAGGCATGTGGGCACCCAGAGCATCAAGCCAAAGCCGTGTTTTCTCTCGACGGAGCGATGCCCGCTGTAGTTTCTGGCACATCCGATGATGAACTTTTGCGAGAAATAACCTATCTGATTTAGAATATCGCATATATACGTACGCCTTGCCCGTCCTTGAGAACTCATAACCGCGCGGAGCGCGGTACATCCCCGAGCAGCCGAAATATTGACAAAAGTACTTAAGGATAACTTGCTACTTGAAGCTCTCTTCGTAGGTCCTCCAAGCGCAGGACGACTTGTCGGGCAGAAGGTCTTCGCTCGGGGTCCTCGTGCCACATGTCTTGGAAAAGCTGCTTGCACGGTGCACATCGCAGGAGAATCACGCATCAAAAGTTCGAACCCAAGCGACAGCGTGCTCAGAAATCGGCGTTCACATGGTGAATGACTTGCTGTACAGGGTTGGGCGTTGAAGGCTGGACGAGGTGAACGACCAAATAAGGAAATAATTCGCCCTGCCTCCTTGCCGCTTAAATGTCTCGAACGTTATCAAGAGCAGCAATATTTTCGCCGCGATGCCAGAAACCTCTACACGGTTGATACGGGGAACTCGCCAAACAACTAAGGAGATGTGCCTGCGCACACCCATGATGGTAACTCGCGTTGCGAACGTGTGCTGCCCAGACTGGCCTCTGCCTAACCTTCTGCCAATGCCGTCAAGTAAGCCAGCCCCACTCGGTCAAAACGTGACCAGGTTATCGCAGTAAGTACCACCAGAGCGGCCGAAAACACCCCATGCCAGCTTGGGTGTTCTGCAACCACTTGTGCGTCGCTAAGAATATGGCAGGTGTAATGCCACACCCAGCAACCAACAAGTGCTGCCGCACCGCACGCGGCACGAAGTATCAGTATTGTCAACACAACAAATATAAGGATGGCTGAACTGCACGGAGAATACCTGAGGTAATAACAGGTTCACGTCGAGGCTCAACTTCTTCACAAGCCAAAGGAGTTCAGCAAACTTTAATCGGTCAATAATTATCGCAAGGATCCAACTAAATAGATGGGCGTACCAAGCGTTTGGGCATCCTGCGTCACTCGCGAAGGAAGACTGCACGCCCGAGAGAATTCAAGGCCTTGCTATTGTTGTGATGAATTTCTGTGAAACGAACTGGCGGACTCACCCTTGTGAAGCCCTTGTGCCACGATGGATCTACCTCTGGCCTTAATTTAGCTTCATACGCCCTCTCGAAAGCTTCCTGGTCGGGAAAGGGCACTCCACCAGCAATCAATGAGAAGAAAATCATTCCCATGGCGTAGATGTCGACCTTTTCTGACAGGGGCTGGCATGGGAGTCGGGTGGCAGGTAGAGAAAGAACGCAAATTGCAAAAATAAGCATGATGTGTGATTTTCCAGGAGCGACTTATGTTTGCATGTCGTAATGCTCTCCGGGTATACCTCGAGTGGCGCAGGATATCACACCCCTTCCACGAAAACTTTTAGCGTTTGACAAAATACGGCGTGGTGTGACATTCTGTAGGGGATGTGGACAAATATTTCGCCCTGCCTCGTTTGAATTTTTTTGAAGGCACTCTCTGAGCGTTTGAAGCACGTCCGAAATACTGGTCGCGTATAGTACTTGCTTGTGGCAGTTAGCAATGGTATTTCTTCTGTGGGCTATTTCACACCATCTCCTGTATGGCGTATTCCACCGAAATTCGAGATAATGCTCCAAAGGTTGAGAAAGTCACCTGTGTAATGAGGAGCTGACCAAGGAAAACTGCATCCCAAAACCATGTTCCATGTCAACAACATGGGAGAAAATCCACAACGTATGCCCGTGTATGCGAGCACTCTTCGGTTCCCGAAGCCAAAGGCACACTACTACGGCACACAACTCCTGTATCAAATTGACATTCTCATAGTGAGGGCACCCCTCGAATATTTCCACCCACGGAGCAAATCGAAACGAAACAACAACGCGAAGGCTTGCTGTATGAGAATCGTTGGCATCTTGTAGTAGTTATTGGGAACATGTCCGTGTGCCTTCTATTTGCTCGTTGCCTCGAAAAGTGCATGTCGTATCGTCTGCCGGTCCTGCCAAGTCTCGAGCAACTACGGTGAGATGGACGGAGTCGCGCACGTGTGCGTGGGATGTTGGGGGAGACTGCTTGGCTTGCATTGCTCCCATTGTACGTACCGTGCCATAGCACCTTCCATAATTGACTCAGGAAAAACCTGCAAAACGCGCATATGCATACCAAGGATCGAAACAGCAAAGCTGCCAAGTCACTTCCCATGGCGCAGGCTTTCACGAACAACTCAGAAACCTGGCATCCGACTCCTGTCCAATTTTTTGTCGCTATCTACTGTAACAATGTGTATAGTGCGACCAAGACACCGAGATAGATCTAAAATCAGGCCAAAACAGACAATGCTTTTGCCGGAAAGCCGATCAAACCACCTGACCATCACCCGGGAGTTACTCGTGTTGGCCGCGGAAGAGTTGGGCTTCCAAATGGGTCTCTCTACGTCGTACCTTTCCCGCAACGTTTTCAGGGGCCCTCCACGGCACTATCCGAACTGGCTTGACTGCGTTTACTGAGCAATATTCGCCAGTAACACGGTCTACGCTCATGAGATGGGCACTGTTGAAGTCGTTGACCTTTCCACGTCCAGTGCCGTCAATTAGCAGCTGCTGCGGTTTCATGTCAAGGTGGATTGCGCCAGCGGTCTCGTGCAATGCCTGCAGCCGAAACCACAAGGGGGGACGAAGTGGACCGTTTGATGATTGGTGTCACACAGGAGCGCTTGCAAGGCCCCCCCGGTTCAGCACGGAGTTTGGAGCTTAGACGTGTCGTTTAATCCTAAGAAACCGAGGGGGGCGCTTGTCGAGATAGCACACCGCGGTAGTTTTTTTTTTTTCTCCCATCATTGGACTCTGTCGTCTTCCCCTCTGGCCCCTATCCTCCACTTCTACTAGCTAGCCAACCGGGGTCACATAGGAGGGGGGGGCTGGACCCCCTCCTGCGGTTCCTGCCTGAGGTATTTTTATCGCGAGAAGGGTACAGCAATCCCTTCCCTCGCGACTTACAAAGTCGATTATCGTTTACTAACAACGAGCTTTGCAGCGCGTCGCTTTCATCCTAGACCAGGATTTATTTAGTGAGAAAAAAACTCACTCTGCCGGGACCCGAACCCATGACCTGGCCCTTAGCAGGCTGCGAGGTTACCCACTAGACCACCGGGGCGACCGGTAGTGTACTGTCGTGAACCCTGGCATCCAAAATCAATCGGTGGAGAGGACGCGGCAGGGTACCCCTTGCCGCCGACACGCCATGAATCGCGCTTGTTGAGTCGGGTGAAAGTTGATCTCCACCTGAAATGAAGTCCTCCCCGGCAACTTGTTTCTAGTGGCGGATGCAGAGGCCCATTTGTTTGCTTCGAGTCTAGTCAACTACAGGATATTCCTAGTTATCACGCGTCCGTATTACATGCCTTAGTGGTGTTTGGTCAGATTTGCGGCACACGTGAATCTTCGCGAGAATGGTTTGCGTTAGTTACGATGTGTGTTATCGTGCGGAATCATCAGCGTTTGTGGTACGCCCAAATTCCTGTAGTATATCCCTCACGATCACTTGCCTGCAATCCTCGGGCTACGTCGAGCGCCAAGGAAACCACTCGGCTAAGAGATCTTCCGTGTGGTGGCCCGAAAATGGTACTCAGAAAGTTGTCCGAGTGGTACTCTGTCACCACCGTGGTTTGACAAAAGCCGAGCATTCCCACAATGTGCGGCTGCCCCCGTAGCTGCCCGTGTTCGAACGAGACGGGCGGGTAAGAACGGACAGACATGCTAGATCAGCGCGCGTTCTTATATCAGCAAGGTTTTCTGGAGATATGGAGGGTACGAAGCGAACTCAGAAGGATTTCATAAATAGAAACCTTTTTGAATATCAAAAGAACTTTTGAGTGTCAGCGTAGACTAAACATCTTCGACAAGCGTGTCATGGTCACTCAACGTTTTTTGTGACATGCGTTGAAATTGGCGTGAGGAACGCATAAAGCGCTGGAGAAAAGCCGCTGAGACGGTGCTAGAGATGGAACGTCTTGTCCATTCGTATGGACTGGGCCACAACGAGTATGGGGTAGTCCTGTCGGAATCAGGATACGGTAAAGTCCTTGTCGTAACCGGCAAGCAGTGTGGACAGCATTGTAAATACAGCCCTCGGGGTCTTCTCACCGCATCCAGAGTCAAAACCTCTCGTCTATGCATGCTGAGGTGCGCCTTCTCCCTTCTCAGCTCCTCCACGTGCTGGAGGGTCTTGACGACCACTGTCTCTCCCTGGTAGTTTACCATGTACACAGTCCGAATTCTGCCGGTGCCAATGAAAGCCATGTCGCCACTGAACATTTCCTGCGCAAGCAACGTTACACGCACACGGAAAGAGCGGCCCACTAAACGACGGCGTTGCAACAGCTCACCTAAAGCAATGGCGGGCTGACTTCAAGCCACTGCGCCGTCTCAGCACGAGCACCAATCGTCCTCAAGTGATCGGTTCATGGTTCTTGTCAGGTCTCAGTATCAGCAACGCCGATCCACAAACAAGTTTCCAGAGGCGAGATGGTTGATCTAGTTGTGGTAATCGTTGTTGTCCGTAAGACCGAGAAAGAGAGACACACGGAGAACGACGAAACTGGCGAAAACAGGCGACACACGCCTTGCGCCGTCCCTCTCTCTGTTCACACTGCACCATGTCTTTGCTTTCGCCACCCACAGATGTTCGGATGTACCAAGTTGTGGCGCTGCGGCAAGGGTCACATGAACAGGTCCCTACTGACGCCTATCTTTTCCGTTGGCCAACAATCCGTACTTGAATTCGAAATGATATTGACATTGTCTACAAACGTTTGCTGTTTCTTTTCCTCCACCTGTCCCTGACAATGGAAGGTTGAACGGGCAACAACGACGGGTTTGAACGTCATAGCTGCGTGTTTTTCAGTCGCGTGTCTCTCTTCGATCAATCCCACGCCGTCCGTCCTTCTGGCTCGCGCTGTCCACCCCTTCTACGCGGTCTTCCAGTGTTGCCGGCCTCTTTCAGCGGACCCTTTGGGCCCCGTACGATTCCCACCCGTAAGATATTTGGAGGCTTTCTCGACAGCGATACAATCGTTCTATCTTCGCCTCCATTTCATACACCTTGTTTACGAGTATGCTCGAAGGAGACGGAGCTCCACCCTTGCTTGCACCAAAACGGGTTGTTATGAAAGGGAGGGTACCACTGTTGTCCTGCCAAGAGGTTTTAAGCACTTTGCAAATATCGAACAAAACACTACATTTGTCGGTTGCATGCGTGTACAATCACCACCATTCGACCCATACAGCAGTGGATGTATGGCGTGCAAGAATGTTGCCATAGCTCGTGGGTAACCACGAGATTTGTCCATTGCCCGACCCTTGCCCCACCCTCTCCTTGCACGGCAAAAGAGAGAGAACAAAAGAGAAGGAGGGAGAGTGCGACAAGTGCACTTCGAAAAATATCAAACAACAGATCACATGAAACACATCTACCACATGTGTAACTAACCCCCGGTGTTTGCCATCGGGGTTGGGTTTCCGTCGCTGGCAATGACGTTGTAATACAAGCCGTACACTTCGTGAGCTCGGCAACCAGGTCAGCGTTTTTTTTGCCTCTCATTTTGTGCGGTAACCACAATGGTGGTCGAGTAGATTATGTTGTGCGCGGTAGAAAACCCTCACTCCGCGTAAAGGGGATTGATCGCACCGCGTTGTGTTAAAATTGGTCAAGCACCCTCGACGCAGTTACACAGTGCTAATGAATGTCTATGGAAGTGAAAGCACCAGAAAATAAGTGAAGTCATACGCAGCTGTGATCCGCACGGAAGGAAGTATGCACAAGATGCCGACCGCCTTGGCAGGATGCAGCGCACCCTGCATGCGACTCGCCGAATACCTCAGGGTGCGTCGCGCTTGGTGATGTGAGAGCCTGGTCTGGTGAGAACCCGGCCTACTCCCTCCCGGCTTTGTAGGATGCGAGGTCAATGGTCTGACGACTACGGCATGCACGCCTACGAGTACACCCCCCCCCCCCC